TTCTTTTTCTTTTTCTTTTAGGCAGGAAAAAAAAGATTAGCAAGATGCTTCTGTCTGCTTATGAATGAAGGTCCAAGCCCTCTTTGCTTGTCAAAGTCCACACTCTCTTGCACATAGACAAGCCTTCAGACCTCTCCTGGCCCGCAGCTTCTGGGTTAGGGGTCCTAGCAAGATGACCACTAGATGGCAACAAAGAGACAAAGAAACTTCAGAATCCCACCAGTAGGTGGCATAAAAAACCCTGAAGAGAATACTGTAAATGCCATGACTAACAGGCCGTCTCTTTCAGCTTACAAGAAAACTTTACAAATGCTTTGTAAGTTACGCTCCTTCTTTAAAATGTCTCAGTTCACATAATCACTGGGAGTCAAGATTAACCACATAGTACTTTGCTCTTAACTAGGAAGAGTCATCCAATAAGTAAAGCCACTTCCAAAGGTACGCTTGGAAAAATGATTTCAGTTGCAATATGTTTATTTTCCATATTACCCGAGAGGGAAATTTTACATCACAACTATCTCTTTATTAAATAAGTTTCTTCAGCTTTTCTTTTCCTTTTCTTGGATATACCAACACTTTTCCTGCAGAGCAACACACACACACACATACACAGACACACACACACACACACACACACAATTTCATCGATGGAACTCCCTACCACTAATAATACATCTGCCTGGAACATCTGGGTAAGAGCCACATGTGGTCCATCACCACATTCCATCCTTAGAACAGATCCACTGAGCACATGCATGTACACATGTACATGAAGATGCATGAATATCATAACAATAGTCATAAAATCAGCACTTATTCCACAGTTATTAATACTGGATATTTTGCTGCAATTGCTATGAAGTGGCATAAGAAAATATGGTTGCATTCATTCTGAAATATTTTTATCATCCAAGGAAATAATCATTTGTCCTATAAGCACTGTTGATCTTTGAAAAGTCCTTATCCTCATATCAGTAATACCAGTGGTTAACAAACTTCACTCCGGGTGATTGATCCTTGACAGTCAAGCGGCTGCAAAGGGATGATAATACTTAATGTTCCCCAGCAGTCCCAACCATCTCACTCATTGCCAAAGTAGGTTATTATGCAGTTTAGAGAGTCATGCTCTAAGGATCATTTGAGCAATTGGACAAAGAATCCCTCTTTCACCAAGTTTGATCTAGAAGGTCATCCAGGACCCTCAAATTTGCAGATTGTATAACTTTGACTCCAGCAGCTCTTATTAACAATGTGCATTTCAGTTAAATGTAATTGTTTTATAGAGTCAGGTCATCTGAGCTCTCTCAAGAAAAACCACACAATGAAAAATAGGATGCACATCAGAGGTATTTTAGGCCTTTTCTTTGACACAAACATATCCTTTTACATTTCTTCCAGGTATCTTTTATGCAGTAAACAGAACACCCCATTGCAACTTTTCAGAGGGTGGGGAAACAGAGGGCAGAGAACCAATCCCAGACTCGCTTGCTTTAGAGATAAAACTTTAAGAAACGTTAAAAAAATGAAGCAAACAGATCTACGTACACATTTAACTGCAAACCAGGAGGAATCCTCTTTTTGCCAAGAATGACAACAACCACAACAATAACAACAATAATTCATTACCGGTACACAGGTGCAGATAAATAAATCTTAAAAGCAACCTTACAACAGCATCTGCACACGCTTACTTGGTCCACAAAGTGCTCTCCCTCTTCCACTGCCATCTTCTGTGGTCAAATGTGAAACATGATGATTCAATTAGTTAACACTTTGCACACAGCGTGTCAGCCCAAAATAGCTGCCAAACAAGAAAGCAACAAAGCCAGCCAGCGTGGTCACGTAGGCTACCTCTCCAACTCTTTCTAAAGAATGGGAAGGCAAGTCGGGGTCTGGCTAGGAGGACCAAGAGGCCAGCAGAAGAGACCTCCTGGAGATGCCTCCCTGCAGTGTAATCTGGAGCCCCTTCCGGGCAGCGTAAGCCTGGGATGAGGACGACCAAAAATAGCCTCCACATCAGTGGGTAACAAGGCCTGACAGGCAGGGATCACTCCTGAAATAAGCTTCCAGGATGCTGTTGACCAGCTGTTCTCCAGGAAAGGACTCCAATGGTGTGTCAACCCTGAAGCTGACCTGACCTGAGGAAAGCTCCAAGGTGGCTTTGGTCAGGTCAGCATCAGGGTTGCCATTGTGCTCGTTTTCCAGAAGCAACACAACCAGGGACTGATGCTTACCCAGCCTGCATGCTGTCAAAGGGAAAGGGGCCCAGGGGCATTTTAAACATCATGAATGGGTTGGATGGACTGGAGTCCCCTTCTCAGCTGCTTGAAGAATTAGTGGCATTGCCAGGTGCATAGGTGACAGAGAGATAGAGACAGAGAGAGGAGGAGGAGGAGGAGGA